TAGCGACCACTATTGCATTTAACGGTATGTTTAACTGTAAAGATGATATGATGTAGTGATGAAAAGGGGGTGAAAGAACGAGCACAAATACAATCATACCGGAAGCAGAACTTGAGCAAATGATCCTTCTGTCCGAGATAGCTACGGCATCACTGCCACCGGACCGGCTGTTTTTGTTACTTAATATAAGTAAACATATATATTGTAGAGCTACTACGAGACTTAAATATTATTTCCAAACGCGTCACGCCGTGAACGACTGCCGTCAAACCATTCCAACAAGACGCGTCCGCTCATTTTATTCCTTAGAGCCGTTACTTATACTCCCTCTCGATCTTCCGCGAGCTGTCCCGATTGAATGTACGAAAGCTTCCGCGAGCGATAACAGCACCTGGCGGAGGCTTACTCGTGAAGGCTCCAGCGCGGCGACCGCGGCGCACCTGGCGGAGTATTACGGAGTTAGCGGAGCCCCGTCGTGCTAATCCTCGCCCGCAGAGCGCGCCCCGCTGCGTCAACCCGCGCGCCTCCCCTTCAACCCCGCTTTCCATTGCCTGCGAGAGGAACAATTAGCCGATGGCAGAAACTGCGTTTCGCCGGAGAAAGAGAGTTGCAATTACTCCTAACGGCGATACAATTACCGACCAACCAAAGCGCTTTACAATTGCGGCGGCCAACGAGATTCGCAAGCGTTTGTTTTTATGCCAGGAGGCCAACTCTCCCCGTCTAAGTGTCGCGCATATTAAAACGTTTAATTATTTTCGCGCGTTTTTTTCGTAATTGCTATATCGTCGGGACTCTTTGGAGCATTAAAATACAGTCAACGACCACTTCCCCTGCACGTCGATCGATGTACGTCACTCCCAAGTAACGTATGAGACAGAGGCGCTTGACAACACGGCAGAGTCGCATAAACTCCCCCTCCCCTCTTCCCGCTCGGACATTGAGAGATTTGGCGAAATATGATACCGTCTCTCCCGTTTTATGCGTCGTTAATATTGAAAACCTTGACGGATGGCGCTGATCACGGGTATTTTACCTGTCGCGGTTTTGTTTTCCCTCTTCGTCTCTCCCACGTCGGTCTCTGCCATTCCCAACCGCCGCAATACTCGAAGTCATAAATTTACGCATCCCCCTCAACGGCCACCTCCTGTCGAATGGAGGGCCAACATGTGTAGGCGTTCTTCAGTTCGCACGCAACTTTCCACTCCAAGGCTCAAGATGTTAATAATCTCTAAGGTCGAATCAGCAAACAAATGTTGCAAGTAATAAAAACAACAATTTTAACAGAATGATCGTGTAATTTCAATAATGGGAATTTTGAATAGCGCATTATACATTATAAGATAAAAATGAAAATAAAATATTATTTCGTTTACATTTGCGAAACCGAAGGTTAAAATAACAACTAAATAAATGCCCAAATATCAAACGAAAATTAATTTCAAATTGTAGGAGAAGAAAACACGTTTAAACTTTTTTTTATGAAACATGTGAGATAAGTAACGCATTGTTCTTCAGGTCTTGTACATGCAGAGATTTTATTTGTTTATTTTTTGTTAACAAAGGAAAGTTTGAAACTTTGGTGCGGCGTACTTGCATGAGCGCAGAGTATTTCATAAAGTAACTATGTGCTACAACAGCACGTACTTGCTTGCATTGTTTCTAAATTTGTCATTTTCGAAAATTCAAAGTTCAATATGACCTACGCAAATATTTTAGGCCTTCGTAGTTTTATCCGTGAAAAAAAAAATGAAAAAAAATTAGAGGTGGTTTCTGATAACTTTTTATAATTTGCACGCAGAAATTACGCGGAAACTACTCGCATTTTTAGAACATTGAATGTAATATATTCTATAGAGTTTACTTTCTTAAAATAGATTTTTTGTAGGGCAAAAATCTATCTTCAATTTTGTAATTTTAAATTGATAAATTTTTGGCATTTTCGAAAATACAGTTTGATAAAATAAGAATGAATTTGAAAGAAGAATTCGGCTTTTTTCGAGTAAAAAATGTTTTAAAAGGTACAACTCTGCCTACATTTCATGCAAAATTACTCGAAAATGTCCTATATTTTTGAAAATTTGTTTCAAAATAGTTATGCACAGTTAAAAAATTTTTACGTAATTTCGGCTTGAACTTAATGAAATTTTCAAACTAGTGTTGATACAGAATAATACACACTTTCTTGTACTAATTGAGAGGTTTCTTACAAGAACCAAACAAGTCCAAAATTCCATATTTTGAGATGTTTCATTATGCTATACTCAATAATTATTATTCTTGAGACACTTGCTACGGCTATTATTGGGACACTTGCTTACGGCAAGTTACGAACACATTGAAAGATATTAGGTGAAGAGAAATCACAAATTCGTTTCTACGCACGCCTATGCTAATAATGTTTTGGCGTCTCCTTTAATTTGGATTAGTTTGTTTCTTGTCAGAACCCGTTCAATTAGCTTTCTAATTTCTTTTGTCGGAACTAGTTTTTCGGTTCTGCCCAATCCTCTTTCTACCCATAAATTTAGGCCTTTAATTTGTACTCCAACTTCCCTGCTCTAATGCGATCCTACTCTCAAGATCACTATCATCAATGAACTTGTCCAGCAAAACAAATACTGAAATTGATACTGTAGTAATGCAAACTTATGTTCAGAACTGCAAAGCAGGGATATATTTGACCTTATTATGGATTCCTAAAAAAAGCGTATCTCTATTAACAAGCTAAGATGCTAGTAAAAGAATCTCTTCAATTGACTTAAAAACCATCAACAATGCACTACAGAATACACAACATACTCTCATGTACTACAGAACATATTTTGAAATATATTAGTATTGAAATGCAAAATAAATGGAACTATAACTGGACAGATTAAAAAACTAGCATATTACACACAATTATAAGTACATTTAACACACAAATCACCAGTAAGAAAATGCATAATGCAAATACTATATAGACACTCCAATCTAAGCCATCTTTACTTAATACAAAATTCATCTCCCCGACGTGTGTACTGTGAGAAGTCCAACTAAATGTAGATCACATTTTTAAAGTTGTCCAAAATTCATTCATCCAAAGTCATTAATTGTTGAATCATAAAGCATTACTTCCTTATACTGAACATCTAATTAACATAATTAACTTCTGTAAAGCAACACATTGTTTTGGACATTTGTCACCATTCTCACTGCTAAATATTTCTAACTTGTATTGTGTTGATTTGATGATGTACTTAATTCTATTTGGAGTATTTTAATGTATCTGTAACTGATAATAGTCACTAATAACCACAACGTCGATACGACTACAATTAATTAATGAAAAATATACTAACTTACGCTCGTGCACTTCGATGACGTGTTATAACTAAATAATACACAACTAATTCAAATCTCAGGCTGAGTGAATTAAAAAAACAACAGTTTCAGTGAATTACATGAAGAGATTCCGTCGCAGAAATAGTCTCAACGAGAATTGCACGGAATCTTTGAAAGAAAACAAATCTGTAAGAGCACGGAGTTAAAAGTAAACAGAACTTACAATCTGTGACGACACGGATGACGCATGCAAGCCCGCTTTCATGGAGACATAAGAAATCCGACAGCTTCCACTTGGGTGAGCGTACTGTCCAGGGTCGCTAGATGTCTCAGTCACATAGTAATACGACTTGCAAAGTAAGAATTGCAACTGAAGTATCTCTCAGAATTGAACTAGTGTATCCAAGCGTAAAGCCACTAAAACTTGTTTTAAACGGAGCACTGAACAACTCAAGTTTTTGCACAACACACGCTATGCACAGAGGCGCACAGAAATCTCCGCCCTTCACTCACTACCCGCGCGACCAGACCGCAAGCTGCCCCCAGATGCTGATAAGATACTGCCATGCCATTACGTCCGTGCACGAAGGGGGAAGGGGGAGAAATAGTAGACGGTCGCTAGGGGCTGCGACACTGGCGCCATCATGTGGCGTAGCCCAGAACAAAAATTTATTTTAATTGCGAAATTAAACAATTAGCATTTACAATCAGATCGAGTTTTAATTATGTATTTTTTTTAGACGTTCATGGTCAACTATAATATAGAGGTTTACATTTTTTAAATATTTTAATGTATTTTAATTTGTATTTGTTAATGTTATTTTTCCGGTTATTACTATAAAATTCATTCATTTAAACGGCAAGATCTACATACAAACGTGTTTCAATTAATACTTTTTTATCAGAACAATTCTTGTAGCAATGCTTCTGAGAGGATGTTCACGCCCACGATTTTTAAATTCTCTCTGCTTTTATCTAGTAGATTGCAGTTATCTTCAATTTTTCTCATCAAAAGAATATGAAAAATGATTAATTTAATTTTAATTATAATTTACTGTTGGATATCCCAATATTAATCCGATTTTTACTTCATTTTAGTTTTATTCTCAATGAAGTGATGTTTTCTTTCAAGTAATCAGCAAACCTTAATTAAAACTAGCCCAATTTTCTATCTTCAAAATTTGACTTAAATGTATTATGAAAAAAATTTAAAACATTTAGTACTGTACTTTCGCATGAACTCGGGAAAGATTGGCCGTTTTTATTTGTTTAACTCTAGCACTTTCAACATGTGTGTAACAATGTTTTCTACATGTAATAAAATGGTATAGTCACCTTTATAAAAATCGGGAAGAACGTATGTATAGACATGCTTAAGGTAATGATATCATCGTTTCGAAAAAAACAGAATGCGATATCTTGGATAGGCTTCGGTTGTGGATGTTCAATTTATATGTGAAATTATCAATGTCTGTATGATGTCCTGGAAAGAATTCGAGCAGTTACAAATAATGCGAGATAGTATGTGCTGTTATAGCAGCACTAGTTTCAATTTTTGCCAATTATTTTGAAATTATATACTATTTCAAATAAAATTCGTCGAACTGAAAATCAGAAATAAAGGAAAATCTTAAATAAAAGGGAAATTAATATTGTGAACGTTTATTCTGAAATTGTTAAATATACAAATGGAAACATTAAACATGCATATGTAGTTATAAAGTCATCTCTAGTCTTGCGATTCCCTTCAGAGTTCAGTTTGTCCCTGAGCGAATGGAGATTCTGCATTAGTGTTTAAATAAAACACCCCAGAAGTGCTGAAACAAAAGTTATTATCATTTGTGTTCTTTTCTTTTTTGTTGAACGCGGTTCAACGAAAACAAATAAAAAGCCTCTCGTATACACACTGAAATAAATTAAGTATTTTAACAAGAATATTATTCAAGAATACTGCAATAACAAAAGAATCTAAATTCAGTACAATTTTTCTTTACATACCAAGAATATCTAAAACATTACTATACCATCACGCTACACGAAAATAGTTAGTATTTAATTGCGGGTTGCCCTCCTTAGAGACCTGCAGTCACATGATACCAGTTATGTCGAAAGCAGTGACACTAACATGAGAATTCAGTCGGAATTCACTATATGAAAATAGACGGAATACAATCAAATATTTGCTTCTTTTATCTCAAAAAGAAACTGTTTCATTGTGTTTGGATTTTTACCCAGTCCCTGGGTATCTATTTTAACTTTAGAAACATCTCACATGACAGGAAAGTACTTAGTTTTCTTTCAATTTCTGGGCGCAATACAAATTAATAATAGACGTAGGTATTTTTCATGTGATGTAAAGCAATAAGACGACTGGTAATCGTATCGTTACGTCTATTCCCCAAGGGATATGTAAAGTAGGTTTAAGGGTTTCTCTTGTTTCGGGAGGGCAGAGAAGAAATTTTTTATTGTTTAGTATTAAGATTGTGATAATCTTGTTTTATAATCTAGCTGTGAATAATTTCCCGGAATAATCGAAAAATAAAGACTATTAAGAGCGTGAATGTTGGGAAAACAGCATTTGATTAAATTATTGGATCAGAAATGCCAATAATCCAGATATTCCAATAGCCATTTATAAAACAAAGTACCATACAATATCATTCTCTTGAAAATATTTTTTTTAAAATTAAGTACATAACTGCAAGATCATACTCCCAAATAATAATTTCTTATAATGCTCTTCTTCGTATTACAATCCTAGTGTTGTAGAGTAGACATATTGCGTTGTTATCTGAGCCTAATGTTAAAAATTTAAATCCTTGGCTACGATTTGGTTTGAGACATCTAATTTAAATCTAAGAGGATTATGTTCAACAGAAAATTCGATTTTTAATATGTAACAAGCATTTTAGTACCCCGTAAGGCCTGAACGCTCAAATTATATACAAAATTTAACACGTAGACAAAGTTCCAAGTAAATGAAACTGGCAATAAATGTTTTCACGTAGTCATTAATTTTAGTTTCACTCTTAATCGATTCACAATAACCTTAATAAAAAAATTAAGATGATATGATGTTTTACGTTAGCAACATTATAAACTAAGAAATACTATTTCTTTATTTGATACAATTTTTACTTCACTCACCTGGGTGGAGACCATTCTCCCATAGTAACATGTTCGTTAGAGCTGCACTTTCCTTCAGTAAAGTCCTCATAACTTGCGCAACTCGTTGCAATAAATTCTTTTGATGAAATGGATTCAAGGTAAAAGTCAACGACACGAGAGTGGCTGCATCCACCTACGAAGCAAAGGAAGGAGAAAGTTGTAGTTTGTATTTACTATAAATTATGTTCGAGGTCTTCAGATAATTGACCGGCCTGAACTGGAGTTGAAACATAATCATTTGATACCGATCAGTCGATCTACAATCGCAGAGTAAAAAAAGTTGTGTAAAATTCCAGTCTAAAACGGAACCTTTTTGGAACTGATTGAAAAAACTTGATTTGTGTAATACAAGGCTTTAATTAATTATTATCTGATTTTCATAGTAGAAATCACGACCATTGATTAATACAATTTTTTCACGGGATTGGTCAGTATGGTTAAAGAAACAATTAGTTATTCCGACCAAACCCTTGGCATAACTATTTCTTTACCCATACTGACCAATCCCGTGAACCAATTTTATTATTATCTGATTTTCAATCAATAAGAACAATCGAGTATATGCATACAATTAAGCATTACCTTGATTTTCAGTTGATACACGTTTTTACCAATGAGTATTTTCTCTAGTTTATTTCCAAAGCAATAGTGTTAAAGACCAATGAGTTCTCAAAATTGTAAAAACTTGTAGGAATTTTAGAATACAGAAGAGTAGATTTATTTTTATATTGATTTAAGTGGATTGTTTTATTTGCTACATTAGTATTTTATGCAATTGTGAAAAATAAAACAATGTCGTAAATCTCGTTAATATCTGAATACGATATATTTAAAAATAATTTAGTATTTTTAGAATAAAGATAAGCTGTCATTTACGAATAGTAATAAACTATTGAATAAAATGTGGAAGAACAGACACTCTTGGGGGTCCATTAATAAAAAATAATGCGTTTTCATAACAAACAATGAATTTTAACATTAAAGAACATTTTAAAAACTCAGCTTGCTATATTTTTGCAGATACATATCATAGATTTATTCAATTAAAAGAAAATGTCAAATTTGATCAAGAAAGAAAGCTAAGACATGTTTTCGCCAAGACTTAACGAATGCAATTGTGAAGCATTAGACAGCTAAATATTAATGAAAATATAAATTACATACACGCACCATAATTTGTAATATAAAATTATGTTTAAAGGCAAGTTTTACTGGCAATAAGATAAATTAAAATAGTACATATTACCAGTACTGTTAACTTTGCTGATGTTTCCTCATTTCCAATTTTGTATTTTAAAATCTGACAAATTCCCGAAAATGAATTTAATTCATAAAATGATAATTTTCACTTACCAGGGCCGCTGCAACCCGGTTGTACAAAACCTCCATTGGGATAAAAGTCTGCGTCTCCTATATTTGCATTTTTTCCTAAGGCGTTTCCATCAGTGTGGATCACTTGAACGAATTTAGCATCTGTTGGATCCAACTGATCTTCCAAGGTATTGTTATCGAAAAGTATACTGGCAGGATCCAATCCTTTGAATAAGAAGAACACATTTTTATTTTAAGAAACGTAACACTTCTATTTTTACAATACAGACGAAGTCTATCATTTCCTACGATTTTGATTTTGCACAAGTAAAAAAATTTATCTATCACTGAGATATTTGTGCTCAAAGAAAATACATAAATTTTCTTCCTTATTTAATTTCATTGTTAGCAATCCTTTTATAAGTCTTTTTAAATTTTCGTGAATAAGAACGTTCTACTCGTGTTAAACCCTTCATGTCATTCTGTAATGCATTCACCTGATCATTTACGTGTGTACTTGAAGGACGCACGACTTACCTACGACTTCGGCCGCCGCTCCTCCCCCCACCCTGTTGCCGATGACGCCCGCCACGTGACCGCCCATGCTGTGCCCGATGATGACGAGGTCGTCCGGACGGAGGCCTCGCTGTTCGATCAGCTGGTTCACCACCCGCCCCACGTAGTCGCCCACGTGGACGGCGCTCTTGGACGAGATCGTGTTTACCGCTGACGCCAGACCCGACCAATCCACGAGGATCACGTTGAACCTTTTGCCAGTCGCAAAGTACGCTGAACACACACAATTACATATTACCTTTTCACAAGCATATTATCCATTTTTTCAATTAAAGGCAAATGTATTTTAGTTTATCAGTTACATTGTATAATAGGCAAAATACTAATTATGAAAAGAGACGACCTTTTCTTCTTAGTAGAAGCATGAAAGCTAATAATTTTACAATAAATTATCGAAATAGCCGCTTCCATGCAAGTATCTTGGCGTATTGTTCAATTAAACTAACAGAGCGTGCAGTACATTTTTGTTTCATATAGGCTACTCCGTATAAAGAAGCTAATGTATTTTGGCAGAACACAACCTTAGTTGGTCCCTTGTAATTAAACATTATAATTTTAATTATTACATACGTCGTATTTTGATGTTTTCTGAGAGTTGCATAGTTAAAATTCAAGTTTTGCGGTTTCTTGATAAATTTAGATTATATTTTATTTATACTAGTATTATCGTATTAAGTGATTACTACAGATATTACGAGAATGCATATGCTGTTGTAGTGCCATTAGTTTTCCCTTCAAAGTTTTTTTTATTAAGTTTTATATTGTTACCTAATAAATTGCTGCCCTTACCCAAATGTCCCTAGTATTTAAGTAAACGATCATGTATAAAGGAACAACGAATATACACATTATAAATATTATTATATAAACAAATCTAACTTACGCAAATACACACGAGCCCGTTTAGACGTTTTCAACATGAAAATTTGGTTTCAGATTGTTGATTAGTTGTATTAATTATTGGCTAATTTTATTCAACAGAAATTTATTATGTTTACCATCTCTAAACGTCTCGATGTTTTTAGCGTTGGACATTCCACCATGGACTACGATCCGCGTCGGGAACTTTGGATCGAAATGACGGCTGGAAACATGGTCCAATGCGATCAAATCCGGAGCCTCCGGGTTGCTTCTGTAATAATAGGAGCGCACAAATTAGCCACAGAATCTATATCTACTAAATATTCTATCATTTATTTCTGAACCGCACATATTGCAACGCTGAAAAGAATGAACTCACTGTGTGGAAAGATATAACGTCACGTCCTCGAGACCATTAAAAGGTGGATCTGTGTCTGATTTCAGAACGCGCTGACTGAAAGGCACAGACAGCACTGGAAGAGAGAATAATCACTGTGTTAGCTTCAAATAGATCTAGAAATGAATACGTTAGTACATTGATAACACATATTTAATGATCTGGAAAAACTACTGCAACAACGTCACCTTTGAGGTGAATGGGCTTAATCCACACCGCGTTTTAAAATAATTTGCGTGCACTTTGCGCACTATTTTTAATTTTAGAAACCCTTTTTTTAGTTTCAATCGACTGTTTTGTTAAAATCTATTCAAAAAGTATAATATTTAGAGTTTTTAGATTCCATAAAAGGGAATAACCCCAAATTAAAATTTTGTGAGTTAGGGCTCTTCACCTCTAAGGCGACTAATGTTGCTTTGAAATCAATGGATGATTGAAGAGGGGGTACGGGGTTCATGAATTTCTCCTTCGCTCAAGCATTATTTTGTTGTAGTTTTGTTCAATTTATTGAAAATAATTGCTTTTATAGGTTTTATCACATCCGAAGGAGTATTCGTATTATCAATACTCTCGTACATTTTTTAATTCAGGATAATAATTTTTTTTTTAATTCTAAAATATTTATTTTGGAGTGTGTCTAAACTACTATTGCCCCGCCTGATGTATTTTTGGGTCCGCTCCTGTTTGAAGTTCAGATAAACAAGATTATTTACGAATACTTTTCATACAGAGAAACTCAACTTCTTATTTGTGAGATAAACTTGATGTCGTCACCAAGGAAAGTTTAAAGTCAAATTAGATCGGGTTTATCCGTCAATTGCAGATGTATCCTGCGGTTTCATAATTCAACCTTGTTGAAATCTTGATACACTCACAAGTTTTTCAATTCCGGAGAGATTCATTTGTACCACCGTAACCTTCTCTATTTTCAGAAAAAGAAAATTATCTTTAATTAATTCAGTATTCAACTATTTTTAAATCACTAACACATATGTAAGAGAATTGGAATTCAATATAGAGTCAATTTGAAGAATTCTTAAGATGAATGGTTAAAGTTTTGGCGGCTGCATGTCTATATTTGTCTTTTAGTGCAGCGACTGCCTCTATGATGGAGCATGAATAGCTCAAATCAGTTTTCAGTTTCTCTCAAATATCGCCGGTGCTAATGAGTCTGCTGACCCAGGAAGGGAAACAGGATGAAGGGAGGGCAACCAATGGAAATTCAAAGAGAATGTTGACGCTGGGATTAATTTGCTCGGAAGTAGCCAAGGAAAAGTGATACGGTAAACATTTACGAGAAATTCATTTGTGCCGCAGTAAATCCTGTCACAAAACTTAACCTCCGGATGCAAGGTCAAATGTGACCGCGTGATCAGGTTTGGGCTAAGACCAACAAACACAGTAGAACGCGGCTGATATCTTGCAAGTCAAACCCGAACAATATCGCACACAAGGAAAGTTTCTATTTGCAAACAACCAGCAGCAAGAGCTACTGCTACGAGAATATAGAGTTGCCTCTTGGTCAAGTGCGATCTCAACGCATATGATTTCAATTGGCCGTGTACTCCTTCTCGCTCTCGGTAACGAGAGAAAATAAGTGACGTTTTCACTAACAGAGAACGTCTTTCCCACTTCTTCTCTTTTTACTTCCGCTTGCATGACTCGAATATATATTTTGGTTTAAATGCGTTTTTATGAAATTTCAGGAGCCCTTTCACTGCGTTGGCTTCGGGCTAGTGGAATAGACTTGCCACACGACACAACTCTACAGCCGAAACGAAGAAAGGGGGATTCATATAAACGCAAACAACTACTTACTCCTTCAGATTAATTAGGAGATCATTGACAGACTTGGAACATCTATCAAGACTTGTCAGAAATCAATTGGCAGATCACCCAAAGAAATAACGGAAATCATGAAAGAAAGGATCATTTCTGAAATCTTCAGAAAGGATGACTCAACATTTAGGGGTGATATGGGCATCAACAACATACCGCGACTCCATTGCACACAGATTTAAGACCTTAGATCCCATTTTTCCCAGAAAATAATTTATAATAATAAAAATCATAATAATAATAATAATAATAATAATAATAATAATAATAATAATAATATAATTTGTGTAGCTGATATCGGTGCCACATGATTGCATGTCTCAGTCGTAACCTTCAACTAAATGTATTTCTAAAGATGATAAGGAAAATACCAGGAAACAAAAATGACGGCATGACACATTCCCAAAGCAATTACATGAAGGCGATATAGATCAGGAAACAACAAGTCTCTGGATCAAGAAAGTAAACTTTTTTGACAAAAAAACAGGTTTATGATGGTGAGCCTTAAGAAATTGACCGAGAATAGTACATAATTAAACGAGCAATTCCAGAGGACATGTCGAATGACACAACAGAAACTTTAAAACATGGGTTTTCTGGTAAAATTATAAAAAAATTATCGAAATGTGTAATAATTATGCAATCTTAGATGACACGTCGAAAATGACAAAATACGGCAGAAACAATAGAACAAACAGGCAACCGGATCCTGTAGTACATTTGCAAGGACAGAATATGTCAATAGGTTCAACAACGAAGAAAACGTTGTACATCAAAATTTTACACCATACAGCATCAGCATCTTATAATAAATATGAACCGTCACCGGGGGTTGATAAATATGATGTCATCACCATTGGAATATGGAAACCAGTATATACGCTAACCAATAACCTGACATCACTGCTTGAGAAAAGAAGAGAAAAGTTCATCTCATTGTTACAGCCATTCCTTTTTCACTATTGGAATAGCTGCTGAAACATAGATAACTAAATTGAAGGATCTAACAGAGGTAATAAACAAACCTCTAGAAAGTAAAGAACACTAAGATATTCTTATTTACTCCCAAATTATAAAAACAACAAAAATTTACAAATTCGTCATTCTCTATATCTGTCAAATTGTAAGAAAGAGTTTGAAAGTTAAACTCAATTTTTGAAATTGGCTTATTGCCCATAGAAGCAAAAGTGAAAATGTGGCAGATGCTGTTAAAGACAATTACATTAAAATAACAACAATAATAATAATAACAAAAATAATAGCAATAACAACAAAACAATGACAATAATTACAACAACAATAACTATTATAATCATAATAAGAATAATAGTAATAATTTGCTCGGCTTGCCCAACAAGGTAAGGATTACCTCCAGTCACCGCCAAAACGGCGCAGAGCAAAATATGAACAGTTGCCATCGCTGTGAATGCAGATGCGATAACGAGAAAATTGCGGAGAGAGAAACTTTTATAGTCCTCGTAAAAGCTGTAAAATCCACATTATAAGTACTGTGAAACAAATGTTGAGATAGCACTCGAAATTTGTCACGTATTATCAGGCACGTGATCATTTCAACTACTCGTGATTGATAGTCACGAATATCTGATTTAGTTATTTGTGACACTGCTAAGCGATATTGAAATTTGATTATTTAAAGTGTTGTCGACAGAAGAAAGACGCAAAATCTTGATGACACACACTTATTGTAAAGGTTACCATTATTTCGTAGCAACGGACAATAGTTCTGTTGGCGTTAAGAGTTGTGAGTGAATAATTCAATTCTGAGTCGAATTTTTAACATTAAAATTTGCTGAAAAATGCACAATGTACCGTGAGTGAGAATAGCGCCATAGAATGTGAAGGTTGGGGTAATAAGCAACTCCAGAGTTACAATTATACACCGCGAAAACAGCAAGATCATTCTCAATAAAACAACTTTTTTTCTGTATTTGTGACTTTAATAATTAATGTCACGAATGCAGAAACGTGTAGTGACTTAAATAATTGAAGTCACGAATATAGAAACGTGTACATATGTAGTATTTATGGTGCGAAACTCCATACCTACCATACCTCCATAACTACCATAAAAGTCTCCACGTTTAGTTCACAAAAAAGCTCATTAGTTTAAAGAAAGAAACATCAGCAGTCCCTTTGACTTGAATTTTGAGTTGAGCATCCACACTACTAGCGTGTTTTTCAAGTTCCATAACAGTGGATCTTCTATTAAAACTAACATCCCCTGATTCTCACCTTGCAAATTGCTATATTATAAGCGGAGAGAATGGAATAAGTTAACTGGAGAATACTGAAGTACTTCTCATCGTGATACAGGCTTATTTTAACACGTATGTGTTAAGTTACGTCACTACAAATTGACGATATTTAGTCTTTGTTCTTCTTTACAATTCCCTTTGTTAAAATATGTTGGAATTGACTTACAAAATGGAGAAATTTTTGCTGAGATATTAATTTTCTTCAGCTGTTAGTTAAGAGAAATATTAAACATTTGTGTTAACTTCTCCCTTACTGGCGATGAAATTGAAGTTCTTGAAACGGATTTTAACTATATTTATGGTAATATATATAAGTAATTCATTTTTAATGTTCCGTAGTTTACCCCGTTATATACCGGTGACATATCTCAGGCATTTTATAGCAATTTCCAAACTAAATTGCAAATTACTACAAGTATTAAAAAATAAACCATTTGACAAATGAAAAGAAAACTACTCAATGTAGTATTACTAGTAAGAAACAAAGTAATAAAAATCTGTTACATTCTTCAGCTTTCTAAATAAACATTAAGACTGAATAAACACCAATTTAAAGTAAAAAATAAAATTTGATCCTTCTAATTTCATTTATACCTATGAAACGTTTCCAAAATCAATAATATAATTATGAAGCACAGATGTGGGATAGGATATCGATCACCATACCTTATATAGTAATATGAAAGTCGGGTTGTGTATCTTAACACTGAGTCGATGAAGAAGACAGTTTTGCATTTGGAGCAACACAATAAATGTAAGTCAATGAGTATTATTATTTAAGTTAATGAGTTAAGAATTATTTGTCTTAAAACATCTATCTTGTCTGAAAGGGGCTGCAAGCTATCTTCACTTGAAGTGAAGTTTAAGGAAATCAAGAAGAATAAGGATTATAATTTCAGGATTCCTCGAAAAGTATTTAGCTCCCAATTACAGTTAGATCAGGTCTCATCAAGTGGTGACCAACGTCTTTTGTCATACTCAAGTGTAGAACCACGAGAAATGTTGAAAACTACAAATGAGTTAACATTTTACAACCCACTAGATACTTATAAACTCAATCTTTGGTACTATTTAAAGGATGGAAAGATAACACGCCGAATCACGTTCTCAATCAGAGATAGTCACGTATGATTTCAAACACTCGTGACTGTGGACTCGCAATTATCAATGTCATCACAAAGTGTTCAGACTGAGTTCTTGCGTCTGATTCTGATCTTCTATTTCCTATGTCCTTCCCGTTTCGCCCATACAGCCTTCAAGCTTTGTTATATACAATCAGATACTACATACTATGTGGACAAAACAATTACACAAATGCGACATATCTAAAACAAGTAATAAAATCTCACGTTCTTTTGTTTCAAAATGCTTTTCTTTATACATTGGTAATATACACTACAATAACACATATAATTTATTTTTATCATGAACCTGCTATTTACAACTATGAGAGCATACAGTAACATACTGAATGTGAAATGTACTCTCTTTATGTTTATTTATGATTTTCGTATTTTTGTTCATCACGACGGTCTTAAACAATCCTTCGGAAAACGTGTATTTATTCTCGAAGGAAGTGCAGAACAGCGAAGTTCGAAAATTGTTTTCCTTGGACATGGTTCTAGTCAATTAAAGAGTTTTTAGGAAAGTGAACTGTATAATATTTTATACTAAAAATATTTAATTATTTCTAAATTTGTAAATTGGATATTAAGACTCTTTTAGGAACAGCCATAAGGATTTATTTTGAATTATTTTCAGCTTCCCTAGAAGAGCACTAGCTGCGCCTCTCCATATTGGGCATCTTTATCTCAGGAGATTATTTGAATACGATAACCCCGCTTTCTATTTTTAAGGAGGAGTTTTTATATATTAGCAGGTAATGTTTATCTATTTTAACAAGTTTTGTTCACAATGTCATTTATATGTTTTTCCAGGTCATTATTCTGTCTAATTAAATACTTGTCGGACTGATTATTGTTAAGCCCAGGAACTGGTGTATTGTTAATTGTTAATACAACGGGAATATAAGGTCTTCTGAGAGAGAAGAGTTTTGCTTGAGATTTATTAGGTTTTATTTGAATTCTTCAATTTTCTGTCCAAATATTTAATCATTTTGCACATTTTTCTGTACAATACTAATCATTTTTCTGTGTAAGATAATATCTTCATGAGTTGAGGAGGGCGGTGTGATAAGCAAAGATTGCCATTTCCGAATCAATGATCTGCGTGAAATCACAGTGGTATATTTTAAATAGAGTAGGCGACAACTGCGATCCTTGAAGAATTTCTGTTGCGACTCGTGCACATTTCATAGACTTGTTTATTCTAGTTCGGAATAATTTGTTGGTGAGACAACTGTCTATAATGTTGATATCTTGCAAATATTTTGGTATCTCCAATTTGAATGTCCATAGATGTCAGTATACGAACATAATCTCGATTAAACTTTCTTCTTGGATATCATACAGGATGCTTCAGTGAATGATGTATGTATTTGATATTGTAGGGTCGACTATCCGACTTTGCCAGCCCTCCATGCCTGGGCATAGTTTAATTCCCTGACGTATGGGGTAAGAGAGAAATGTGGTGAACAAAACGTATTTCCTTCGCCGTAACTAGTAAACTCCGCCTGCCTAAGATTTTCTTCGTGGCGCAGCTACAGAATCTGGGACGAATTTTACAACTCTATTTTTGCCTCGACTGGTAATTGAAACCGAGATCACACCACGAGAAGCTAATTTGCTGCCCATGAGCCATTCTATAGGCTTAGAAAATGGTGTTGGTCTCATTTGAAATCCCTAAGTTTCCAAATATTGTAAAAGTTCAAATTTTTACAAAATACAATAATGAAGATAGATTCATTTTCTGAGTTAATTTTTTTCTTTAAAGCCAGATATTGATATAAGATCATGTTCAATATTTTAAACATACAAGAGGAATTTTCGTACTTTTGCGTGATACAGGCAAACAATTTTTTACAATTATTTTCTCATAAAAAAACGTCTACAATTTTTTCTTCTCTGTAGTAAATAAGGGTAAAGAAAGTCGTACTGTATATTTTTATGAACTCTCTGAATTTAAAAAAAATTGCAAACAACACAAATTTTAACATTACAAAAGGACAATATTAATGATGAGCTTTTTTATAAAATGAAATCTGTTCTAAAGTATTATTTCTTAAAAAACGCCATGTACAATTAAAAACATTACTATTGTAATGAATCCACTTAGGCACACGTTCAGAGCCATAGTAATATCATCGGAGATGTCCAAGCCCCAAGAGGAGGAGAAGTAAGCATTGGACCGATTCCATGATGATAGAAATCCCTATTAAACGTGTAAACCTTGAGATCGAACGGGAAATATTAATTTTAATGAAAATCATCTGAACGATTTAGGATCTAGCTTTCACCTCCGACGGCCGGCCATAAAACAAAATCACGCATTCTACATTCTTAGGGTCCTTGAGAAACGTTGGTGACTGTAGACATCCTACACAGCTTACAGACTATCCTTATTGGTGGATTACATCCCGGCCCCAAATTACATGTAATTGAAATAAGAGTTCTTGCGTCTGAATATTTAGGATTTCAGGGATCAGAAAGTTGCGCTATGAACAAAAGATGGAGAGAAAGAAATAATATAATAAAATTGTATAAAAGCAATTTCAATAATTTTATTGCAGAAATAATGTTTTATACATTTAATTTCAATTACAACAGTTAATAAACATATTTAACTCTATGTTCATACTTTTTTATTCTGGTATCACTGTGAATATTATGAAAACTGCTAAAGTTCAGTATGACCCTGGGCGAACGGTGAATTGGGGTTAGTGTTTAAATAATAAGATCCTGATACGCTGCAACAAAAACAATGGGGTAGGTTTATTCATTTGCTGAACATGAATTAAAATTTAATTTCAAGAAATATAAGGAATGACATCAAAATTAATCAACATTTTGCATACATAAATTATTTTTATTTTGTTTTCTATTAATACATATTTGTATTAAATGTGAATAGAGTGAAGTCATGTGTAATTAGAAATATTAAATGTAAGCGAAATAATTATCACTCATTTATTTACCTCATTAACCGTAACCTGATTAACAATAACATTGTCAGAAAAATATAAAATATTACTCATCTGAAAATACATTTATATCCACATACCTCAATGGCGTCCATTCTCCCATTGCCACATGTTGATTTGAGCTACAACCTCCCTGAGAAAACTCGTGGTAATTTGCGCATAGCGTAGCCACGAAATCTTTTGAAACGATGGATTCGATGTAGAAGTCAAGAACAATGTTGTGGCTGCAACCTCCTGTAAGTTAAAATCACGAATGTTGTAGAGGGTGCAGTGTTCTTAGCGCGTGCTTCCACGTGTCTGCTTGCGCCCTGGGCTCAGGAAGTCAGAGCCATTCTATCCTACCGGAGTATTACTGGCATCTGTGATCACCACCTGGTGAAATAAATATCTAATATATAAAAAGCAATGTTTGTTTGTTTGTATTTAATGCGCTGCCGTACCGTTCATCCAATCGCGATAAAATTTTGTCTCCTTATTGCTTGCATTTGTGGAAAGAATGCAGATATAGCACGATGAAAATGTGCATATGTCTGCGCACATAGATACGCATTGATGATAAATGTATGCTGACTCAAGGGCCCCTGAACAGGACGTCCTACATAACGGCGCTCTACGCTACCCGCCGTATCTTGAGGTACGAGTATTTAGAACGTCTACATTGCATATATTGCCACGGCTACTGTAAAATTTCGCCTGAGAGATAGGAGAGAGAGAGAGAGGAGAGAGGAGAGAGGAGAGAGGAGAGAGGAGAGAGGAGAGAGAGAGAGGAGAGAGAGAGAGAGAGAGACCGATACAGACAGAGACAGAGACAAAGGCCTTCTGAGACGCAGAGAGAAAAACAAATAAGAGACACCGAGAGACAGGGACGTTGAGAGGGATGGAGAGAGAAAAGGAAAGGGAAGGAGGAAAAAAGGGATGGAGGACAGGACAACATCTGCCGCGTTTCGCTAGTAAGGAAATAAGTTAGTGTTCCCACCAAACGGCGCAGACGTATTCGTTCCAGTTTGTTTCCTAATTTCTTTCGTCTGGATTAGGTTTACGTTTTAGCCCCCGCCCTCTTTCCGGTTGCTACTTATCGGCATCTAAAACAGATTTATTGTTCTTTTCTCAATTTTTCGTCTGGTAATTGCAGAATAGGACGTGTTGTGCTACAACAGAACATACTTTTGACATTCACTGGCCGGAAACTGGCGCAAGACCGAAGCCTGGAATCTGTCGCTCAGGCATCTTGAAGAGCGTCACCAGCACGGTGCGCTCGCTTTGGCTGCGGCCGAGATCCTGAGCAGCTCTGGCCAGCCATCGGTTTTGGATTCCTCTGGTAATTTAAACTTTGGTATACAATTTCTATTTAAATACATCTGTTGGGATAAGGTCCCAATATAGTTTTTACGTGAGAGTCATGCCAAACAAAACGGACGGTTTGCGTTCGTAAATGAGTCAATATTATGTTTTATACATTTTAGTTTTTAATTTTTTTATTATTGTCAGTTATGGTTCTTAAAGAAACGTCGGTTGTTTAGATCTTGATTTAGTTTCTTGTGATTGTATGCGTTTGCCTAAACGTAAAATACTATCCTAATGTAAAATACTAGCTATCATGTCTCATATACATGTTTGAAAATTCATATCACATGACACGAGTCTTACAACTTACCAGATATGTCTTCTCCGCATCCAGCTTGCTTTATACCGCCATTCGGAAAAAAATCTGCGTGTCCTCTACTTTCTGGTTGTCCAAAACCCCCTCCATTTGTGTGGATAATTTGCACAAATTTTGCATCTGTTATATCTAACTGATCTTCCAAGGGATTGTCGTCAAAAATTTCATTAGCGGGGTCCAACGCTGGAAAAGGATGACAAAACATTTATAATGAAATTAATCACGATTAATGAATCGCCTCTTTCACACCTTCCTATTATTTACTAAGGAAATCAGTCTGTTTCTTTTGCGGGTTGAAAATTTACATTTAAACAAAAATTATAATACGTTGGAATTTTTTTAAGTGAATAAAAAGTGGTTCAATATTCGAACCGTAACATCACGAAAAAACGTAAATTATAATTACGATATGAGTATCGTGAGACGTCACATTACATTACCAGCACGGGAAATTTCAACGCGAGGCCGTTTAGCCGAGTTTGATAACTAATTGAGTATTGTAATAAAATATTGAAGTAAGTTACGATATGAGAATCGTTAGTTTTATACACTTTGTAAAAATTGTATATATGTACTTTGCGTGCAACCCGTGAACGGGATCAGGCCTACCGGTGACGTCCTTGCCTTGCGACCATGGGTTAAGGGGGTAAGTGTGGTTAGCACGTAGACATCCCCACACTGTATTCCGGTCTTCTCAACCTGAGAAGTGAATTTTCTCATCTTCACACAGCAACGTATACAGGGACATTGAAAGGACAATGCAGACTATAAGCTTGTCTGACCGAGAATCGAAGCCGGGGCCGTAAAGTGGAAAGTGAGCGCGCTGACCAAGAGTTAGCCTCGAGAGCTACTTTGTAAAAATTACAATAACAAATTATAAAAAAGTATTTTTGAAAAATCACTGACTGATTTTGATAGAAGCTAATAGAAGGTCTTGAATTATTAGAACATTTATATTCTAGCAACTGATTGCTGTTTCGTAAAATTTTGATTTCAAATAATAGAATAATGGATAAATAACTAAACCTAAAAGGACCTACTTATTTACAGTAAATTTTCAAAAGAAAGATCTAAAGTATACTTAAATGTAATACTCAAAGAAAAAATATACTTATTTTCTAAGTGTAGTATATGCAAGAAAGATGACTTTGTGAATGCGAGCATGTAGCAGGCGAAGGAGCAAAACTAGTCGATTCTAATTGTTTATGCTAGTCACCTATGACTTCAGCTGCAAGGCCACCGAGTCGGTTGCCCACGATGCCCGCCACGTGACCGCCCATGCTGTGCCCGATGATGACGAGTTGGTCCGGGTCCAACCCGCGGGATCCGATCAGGTGGTTCACCACCTGCCCCACGTAGTCGCCCACCAGCACCGCGTTTTGGACGGCAGTGGGGACGTCGGCCGCTGCGGGCCCCGACCAGTCCACGAGGATAATGTTGTAGTCGTCTCCGGCCGCAATGTAAGCTGTGTGTTCAAGAAAAGGCTTTGTTGGGAATTGCCGACGTTTGCAGAAGATTACAATTTCTTAACGACGTTTTCACAACATAGTTTTCATCTGCATAACTTTGTTAAGTTATAGAAAACTTAAAATGCATTGCCCTTAAGGATGTTTGACCCAAAGGAATTTGTATAACATGTTTGGGATTATCATTATTGATAATAATACTGTTGCAACTACTTAGACGTGTCATTATGTTTGAATATACAATTGGCACATACAATACAAATTCTTTTTTATATATTAACAAGTTTTTCGCATAAGCAGTGGGAGTGTAGATAAAGGTATATAAGCTAGATGGTATATGGGCACTGATCCCATTGTGATGTACGAGTCTGACAGTCAACTAAGATGATGCTTCTGATTTAGTCGAACGAAGTGGTAAACCTTCTTATGAAGCATTCGCGATATTGAACATTTTAGTAGTGCGAAAATTGCTATATCGATCATAATATCTTCACTATAAATAAATTATTTTTGTTCAAGAATAATGAATATAACAAATTCCCAATGTAATTTTCGCATTTGATTATTTACCACGAAGAAGAAGCTACTCATTACACCAAATCTTCGCACACTAGAAAGTGTATTACTAGCCGTAGTTTAAGTGTTATCCGTAGCTTTGTCAGCTTCTGCGAGAATTTCGCAGGAACTTCACAATACTCGTATTCTTTCATTTTGTACGAACAAATCAGTCCAATAACGAGCACGCAGTAATAATTACATACAAATTCTATTTTGTTTATCTGACGTCATATTTAAAACGTCTTTTCACTTTTGACGCAAGAAAAGTTATAAAATGTTTCAAATACTCGTTTTATTCTGCAACAAACTAATAAACCATCAAGTTTTGTATGCACCTCGGGCCAACTAAACGTTTCGACCTAACGCGACTTACAACCCCTCGGACCAGAGACCCTCCGGCATGGAAGTCGCTTCATGACAAAAACATCAACTTAACGCCTAAGATACATATATAATTATTTTGTGTAACAGCATTATAAATATATAAGAGATGAAATTTAATTTTAGTTAATTTGTTAAAACATCTTTATTGTGACATCACAGGTGTTTGACATCTGTGCGAAAAAACTGTAGTTCGCTGTTCCGCTATCGCCATCACCCCACAATTCTCTCGCTGCGATTGCCAACATGCGTGATGCAATTATTCGTGCCACGAAAGGCAAACAAATCATCTTTGCCGTAAGATTTCACTTTATGAACGATTTATTGTACCGAAAAATGATGTTTATAATCCTGAAATACAAAATATTGTATAATGCCTTAATGCTGGTGCAAAATCAAACCATTACGCCAATTATTTTCACGTACAGTGAATATGACGGACAAGTTAATGAGGGCGAGAAGAAGTGTACTTAAATTTACATCTCATCTAAGTTGTTCTTCAATATTCTTGAAGTGACTGTAAACACACTTGAATACGGTGATACAGAGATTAGACGCGTGCGGCACATATAAGATCTTCTTGGAATTCATTGTATACGTACTTTTATCATGAAAAATCAATAAGAGAATGATAACGACTATAAGACAAAACACTTTTTCATACGTACTATCAATATTAGTAATTATTTTCTACCAACTTCTTTCACTATTCTCTCAAAATATTTAATGAAGATAATAAGGAAAGAGCTTTTGTTGACCTTGTAAATTACAAGCATCATTTGCGAACAGCGAGGGCTCTGGAATTTCCGGGGTCGAATGACAGTTCTAATGGTTGCGGCCTAAAATCGGGTGGAATCACAGGAGAGCGCACGATATGCCACTGACGTAATTTGCACTCCATTTACGTCACTTAAAACTTTACGTTACTGTTCGTTTGTATCAGGGATAGTTTATCACTTCAGCAATCTTAGAACTATCCTGAGAGCTTCTACTCATTGTAAGCACAACCTTTTGGACGACCTGTAAGGTTTATCGGTCGTATTTAGTCTTCTGTAATAAGTTTGGTGAGAAATGAGTTTTTCTGTGATTTTTTAGTCTCTCTTCAAAAACATTCAGTCTTTTACGTAAAGAAGAACTTGCGTGCATGTAACATTTATATTATACGACGGATGGCAATACTTTGATAGCCAGTGCATGATTTTAACCAAGAACAACATCCAAAACATAAATTGAAAGACAAAGTAAATTTAAAAAAAAATCGTGGCTGCAAATGTAACCACCGGAATTTAACTGCCACCGAACACCAGGGAAATAATTCTTTGGTGTATTCGAGTTGTGCATGATGAGCAAACTCACCGTCTACTCAATGCAGCAGCGTGCTTCATAGCACGCCTTATACATAGTATTTTCGAACTTGTTCCACAGTCAATTCGAAAGCGAGCGGGTACAATGCTGTACGCAGCCATTTAATTAGCGTGCTTGTCATAATAAGATATTGCCAACTTGTAAAGTGGGTCGTAATTATGACGAGTGATACTCATCAACACTTCTTTGTTTTTAACTGTTTGCGCTTAAGAAGAAACTTCTTAAGAAGAGAAAGTTATGTAGTACTGCGCGAAAAAAACGGCAAATTTTCAGCAGAAAACTTTTATTATAAGGCCCTGGTAACGAAAAAGTAAATCCAGTTGCTAAATTTAGGAAACAAATCTCTAACATGTGATGTAGGCAGAATAAAGGGGTACATGCTGTTTTGGCACTACTAGTTAAATACTGAATAAGTGATAAAACTGAATAGTAGGACTTTGCACTTGTTACTTAATTTAGTGGAATGTCATGAAATATTAAATAATACTTTATAAAACCCGGGATTTAAATAAATTTTATTTCATCACCTCTGCCTTTGAATCTTAAAAATGTGAAATGACATATAGTAATAAATTATTTCACGTTTCTAGTTTGTAATACATTTTATAGATAATGACAGAATTTACCATCTCTGAAGCCATGAAGATTCTGGGCATTTGAAATCCAACCATGAATGACAAGTCGCGTAGGATTCTTTGGATTAAAACTGGGAGAACTAGAGTCGTCTTCTAATTTGACAATCTCAGGAGTCAGCGGGTTTATTCTGCAAAAATACAATTACTATTATTTTTAAATTAAATAGAACTTTAATATTTTATTTGTTATAATATACGACATCAGATAGAGTATCAGAGCAATGACATCAAATAGAAATATACGAATGTATTATTTAGTAAATTACTTTTTAAAACGAACAATCACAAAAGAAATGAGCACATGACAAAAACAAATACATAGATGACTCACATGGCATACTAGAAAATATTAAATTTTGTAAAATATAATAATTGTTCGTCATTGTGTGAAGATCATATCAGCATTTAAAACATTTGTTTGACATTCGAAATTATTACATTGATTATCTTCATATTTGAAATATTTGTCGTTTTTTTGAAACGTTTATTTCAAATTTTTGACATTCTATTTAGTTCATTCTTTAAAAGAAAGAGATAATCCGTATGTGCGTCATTATACCATTTGTTATTGAGAACGTTTCGCATGCATTTACATCGAAAATTAATCAAATATGAGTAACAAATTGAACGATTATGATGAACGAAGGCAATTTCTGTCTGCAAATAAATTTATTAATAATGA